TGTGTCCACTGCAGCACTATTTACAGTAGCCCAGATTTGGGAGCAGCCCCAGTGCCCATCAGGATAAAAAAGCTCTGGTACATGTACACAATGGATCACTACTCTGCCATTATTAAGAAGAAAATCTTACCTTTTGCAACAGCATGGAGGGACCTGGAGAGCATTATGCTAAGTGAAATAAGCCAGTCAGAGAAAGACAAATACCATGTGATTTCACTTATATGTGGAATCTAATGAACAACATAAGCTAATAAACAAAATAGAAACAGAATAATAGATGCAGAGAACAGACTGACTGCTGTTGGGGGGTTTAGGGGGCAGGGTGAAAATGAAAAAAAAAAAAAAATCTGGATTGTCAGTCTGAGTAAACATTAAGGGCTGGAGGTTATCCATGCACAGACATAGATAGTGGCAAATAAACAGATGACATTCCAGAGTTCCTTTATCTGGGTTTGGAACACATACTGCAGTTAGAAAGCGTAATCAGGTCGACCTATAAAGCTATGCCGAATTAAGAACACGGGTGAAGTTTTAAAGGCTACAAGTGCGCCAGGGGACACCACAGGCAGGTGCCCACCTGTGAAGGTGAAGAGCCTGGGTGGGCACGAAGCCTTCCTAGGTCTGTCTCCTATTCGAACAAAGCTGCTCCAGGTCTGACGTCCAAGTGTGACTACGAGGTGTGCAGTGTGGACTAATGCCACGTCCTTCCCTGTGGGGCTGGAGGACGGGGGCTGGCAGGGGCGTCCTCGGCTCTCAGCCCAGGTGTCACTGGCTGGGGGAGGGAGCCTTACGGGTCGGAGCTGGGGGTGTCAAGGTAGAAACAGGGCCCCAGAAAGGCAGTCTGCAGGCGGTTGGGGCTGAAACGCACCTGCTGCCGATTTGGTGAATTCGCTCAGCTCGTACTCTTCTCCTTCTGACCCCAAGGTCCTGGCTTCTGACAGATGCTCCTGCCCCCTCCCCCCCTTTCCACAGCTCCTCAGGCCGCACTGACTCCCTCCTGGAGGTGGACGAGAACACTGTCATTTTGAAAAGCAGCAAAGGTATCCCCCCCGCTAGGTCCAGGATGGGTTATCTCAGAGGGATCTGGAGGGCGCCGGGCTCCTGCAGGCAGGCGCTAAGGACGAGCACTCGCAACGGCCGAGGCCACAGGCGCGGTTGGCGCCGCAGGTTCAGCTCAGCCGACAGTCACACCCAGATGACCAAGGCCATCCCTGGGGCTTGGGGTGTGGCAGCCAGGGTTGGGGTTCGCACCCTGACTAGTGGCGTCACCAGCAGTGAGTCTTGAAATGAGGAAGACAGAGGACTGTGAGCGAGCGCACGGCGGGGTGTCCCAGGGGAGCCCACCACGGGGTGTCCGAGGGGAGCGCATAGTGGGGTGTCCCAGGCCAGCGCACGGCGGGGTGTCCCAGGGGGCAGGGCGTTGTGGCTTCCTGGTTCAGCACACAACTCCCAACCCGGGAACTGATCCACGTCCAGTGGCACCTAAAGACTGCAAAAGGCTGTCCCTGTCCCCCAAAGCTACCGAGTCTACACTTCCTTCGGGGCCTCGCCAGCACCTGACGCCTCTCGCGATCGTGAGGCCTTGACCACGCTGACCGCCGAACCCCCTGGGCTAGAGGGGTCATGAGCAACAAGTCCAATCAGCTAGTTCGAGGGAAGTGTGCTGGCGGCTGACAGTCTGAGGGAGAAGAGGGAGTAAGCGTGGCGTTATCTGTGGAATAGTAATGGGTACTCACGAGAAGAAAGAGAAGTTTATCTGCTGTGCAGCAGGGCAGAGAACAACGTAGTCATGCATCTTAGAACAACAGATATGACGGTGGTCCTAACTGTGCTCACATGGCTGGGAACATCGAGAAGCTTCTCGTATCGGGCACGTCTGCCTCGTTGGACGGCATTCCCTTGCAGGACGGTAGATCGATGAGGCATCGTGATTCTCCTGCAGGTTTTGTCAGGAGTGCATGGTCTTGCTTGCCTGGTTTATAACAATGCTAATTATTTGCTGACTTCTCATCCACAACAACTGTTTTCCCTCCGTGAACAGCATCCTTTGCACGACGCCGCCCTGGCTCCTGATCCGCAGGAGTGCAGCTGTCTTTCTCCTGCACAGGCACGTCATTAACACGGCCCCTGGCTCGCAGGGCACGTGAACCTCTTCCAGGAACGAGGGCACAGAGGGCGCGCCTATAACGAATCCCGGCTTAATGTTTTATTTAAATGTGTCTGCGCGGTTCACACGTGAGAAGATACTCACTCACCACGAGTGACTCAGGCAGTGTAAACTACAGCTAAGGTCACCGCACACCGCCGGCACGCTACAGCACTGCAGAACCAGCAACACGGGCGAGCGGGGAGGGAGCGGGCTGGGCGAAGGAAGGCGCCATGGCCACTCCGTAAGGCAGGCGAGCAGTTTCCCCGCAAGCTAACCCTGACCTGACCACAGGACTCGGCATTCTACCCCGGCAGCAACGACACACCTGTCCACACAGAAGTCTGCATGCTCAGAGCAGTGTTACGTGTAACAGCCAGAAAGGGGAAGCGGCCCAAGTGCCCAGCAGCTGACACGTGCAAACGAGGCGCGGTCTATCCACGCAGTGGGCACCGTCGGCGGAGAGGGACACGGCACTGAGGTACACGCCATCCTGAGCGAAGGAGTCGCGCACAACGGACGCACACTGCTGGCCCCACTTCCATTCGCGACCAGGAAAGGCCAACCGGCCGGGACAGGGACGGATGACGCCCGCGGGGGCGGCGGGCGGGCCTGGGATGCTCCGGGGGATGGGACTGCTCTAGATCAGACCGCAGCGACGGCCACACAACCCGAATCCATTAACATCGTCACACAGCTGCTGCGAGCACACATTTGATGAGGACTAATGGTTTTTTATGAACAGTGATAAGGTGTCACCATCTTACAGACAAGAAAGGTGAGGAGCAGAGATGTCCCACCAACGATCTGAAACCGTGAACCCAGTGGACGGCAGAGCTCAGATTCGAGAGCAGGACATTCCCAAGCTCCACCTCACACCCGTCCCGCCACACCGACCGGCACTCGTTAGTAACTGCACCCTCGTGGGAACTTGTTCAGTCTGCTGAGTTGAACGAAATGAGCCCAGAAAATCTGATCCAGCGATTTGGGGCTACTTTGCTTGCCTGAGTGGAGGATTTATTCAGTTTGACTGGTCAGGACCTGAATGGACAACATGCGAAAACTGTTGAGATCATCACGATTCCCTCACTCAGCAAATGTTTAGGGACCCCACCACCCTGCCGGGCACAGTTTGGGCTCCAGAAATGCCAGTGGACACGTCACGGGGCGCTCCCAGGCAGCAGGAATCCGGGGGAGGTCTGGCCCCCCGCGCTCAGATCACGGCCAGCACTCGCGCGGAAGGGCGGTGTGGTCGAGGACCACCGATTCTCAAAGTAAGGACGATTTCTAGAAATGTGTTCTACTGACATATAAATCCTTCACATGAAAAGTATATATGGCCCTGGCCGGTTCGGCTGAGCAATTGGAGCCTCAGCCTGCAGACCAGAGAGTCGCGGGTTCGGTTCCTGCTAGGGGCACGTACCCCCCCCCCCACATTTTTTAAACATGTATGAAGAAAGACTCTGTTATGCCAGGGAAGTGTCTGAGGTGTCTCCATGTGTCTGAACGTGCCATTGGCGGGCTCAGAGAGGATCGCCAGAGTGGACGCCGTGCCCACGACATCCCCGCGAGGGGCTCGAGGGCAGGTCGCGTCCGCGGGGCTGGACACAGGCTCCCGACAGCAGTCACCGCTTTCTCAGATGAAGTCTGAGAACAGTGAGATTTCTTCCAGGAAGAAAATACAGCTGCGAAGTTTAAGGGAGAAGTCACTGGGGTGATGTGCAGAGGACAGACCCCAGGTCGGAGGGCAGAGGGTGGTGCTGTCCCACCGTGTACGTGAGGTGTCCACTGGGCGGGTCTGTGGAGGCCGAGTGGATTCGGGGCCGCCCACAGCTCGCTGGGGGGAGGGGGGAAACAGGGGGGAAGCTACCGGGCACGGGCTTTCTTTATGGGGTGATAACTGTTCATCTCTGACTGTGGTGATGCCCACACAGCTCTGAACAGACTGAAACTCATCGATTTGTTTCGTTAGTTTTTTAAATACTTGTGATCGTTAAATGCCTTTTGTGATACCTGGTCAATTACATAGCTTTTCCCAAAAAAGGGGCTGAGGGACGTGTGAACCCCATTGCAATCGGGGGACTTCGTGTGGGTTCCATTCAAATATGCAGGGTGTGAAAACAAAATGGAACATGGTTATGAGACGCTTGGAAAAAACTGGGCGTGAGTGAAACTGGGTTAAAACCATGTTTTGGGTCACTGGCTTCATGGACGTAGGTCCTAGCAGGCTGCAAACGACAGGAGAGGCTGCGTGGTCGAGCGGCCACTCCACGTCCATGGCCACACAGGTGGACATTTCTGTGCACAGCAAGAAGATGCACTCACACGGATAAAAGGCCCACAGACGAACATTCTAAGAGCACGCTTTTTTAACTGCACACCCGGACATCTGTCACACAGATTTAAAAAGTAATGACATTTTCTGAAAGAATGTTTTCTCGATGGGTGTTCTCTCAAAGTCAGTAGATCCCACTGTAAGCTGGACTTCACAGCTTATAATTTTCTCCATGTAAATGTGTTCCAAATTACACTGCGTTGCTTTGAATCATTTATGAGTGAAAAACAGATTTAGCCGCGGAGGGACGTGAGCGGTGGGACATGTTTTCCGCGTCAGAGGTGCCGTCGACCAAGCTTCGGCCTGGCTCTCGGGCAAGTTCAGCCTGACGCCCTGGACTGTGCTCCCGGGGACCCCCGCCCAGGACCGCTGCCGCGCGCGGCAGTCAACCTTTTCCTCTTCTCCCCAAATGTTCAACCTTGTGTTTACAGATGTTAAATGACAACTTACTAACTGACACGAAACTACAGAGTCTTTCACTTCTTGGCGCCCGCGGAAGCACACGCGAGACCCCCTTACCATCCTGTTGATGCGGACAAAGTCCTCGGGTTTCTTCGCCCAAGGGGGGAGGTCGACGTCGTTCACCACCACGTCGTCGTCCCTGACGCCCAGGCTGTACCCGTTGCTGTTGACGAACATCTCCGGCAGGTAATAGAACTCGGGGATCAGCTCCTGCCCGGGGGAAAGCGGAGCACGTTAAAGCACTTCGAGAACCGCTCCATAAAACGAGGGATTTATAACAATGAAATGGAATTAAATAATGTATTTAAATCTAATGTTTTACTGCTTTGTTCTGTTGTTAATTTAATTTTCTTTAGATAAGATTCTAGGAAGACAAGACAAACATTTTTTGAATAATTTGCTTGATAATTTATCTTTTTAAGATTTTTAATCTTATCTTGCCACAAATTAGTTAGGAGAAATGAGTTATTGAATCAATCATAGTTCGCAATAGCTGTATCTACAAGTCTATGCTGTTCAGTAACCTTTTCAGAATATTATTAATAAAATATCCATATTCAAAAAAAGTTGTTACCAGTGTTGGTTAAAAATCATGTGATGTCTTTTACTTTTTTTTCTCTGACTCCACTGACATTAACAATACATAATTTCTATAAAAAGATTCACTTTTATTTTGTAATTTGGCAAAACATTATTTCTATACCCCCTAGTAAACACAGTGAAGAGGTAACATACAGCATAGTAGGTTTTACACGCTTAATACACACACCTGAATAGTAGTAACTCCTTAATAAATTGAACGCAAAGATAATGTGTGTTCTTTGCAGATAGAAAGACATTAACAATTGTGTTCAAGGAGAATGTGCTTGACATACAAAATCTAACAAGTGATTTATGTATTTTCAGAATAAATCTGACATTGAAATAAACTGATTTTATGACCTTAAAGTTTTAATTTGTTGTCTTTTTTTTTTAAGCAACTGGAGAAAATGAAAACAAAAGACCACTTAAGTTGTTACATGTACCATCTACACCATGAAAATATACTGATCTCAAATACCAAGACGAGAGTTAAATTGACTTGAACACACATTGTGAAAAGCACAGGACATTTATTTGTGGAACACAATCAAACCTCACTTCTCCAGTGATACACAGCAAATTCTGAAAGAGCACCAGACCCTGAGGTCTTCAAACACATTGGGTTTTTCAGCCCCAAACAACATACACGAAAGCCTTTTCCTGGAGCGTCCAGGCCAGGGGGCGGGAGCTCACTGAGCACCCCCTCCTCCCACAGCTGTCAGACTAACATGACGCGCAGCACGTGGAGAATCACCCGAAACCCAGTCGGACAGAAGCCCCATCACTGCGACCGTGAAGAACAGCCACTTCGGGGCCGGCAGGAAGGGCAGAGATGCCGCCCGGGCAGGTCCCACCCCCACGTGCGGTGGATGACAATCAGGAGGGATATTTTAATGGGGAGGGTCCCCTGAGGAGTGAGGGGTCCCCATCCCACACCAGAAGCCCCAGCTCAGCGTCCCGGTGCCGGGAAGTCCCCACAACACCTGGCTGAGAACATTGCAGGGACTGTGGCCGAGTGAGACGGGGGCTCTGGGGTCCCGGAAGCTCTTCCTTATTTTTATGCTCACCCGAGGACACCTTTGCCTTTATCTTCAGACAGAGCAGGAGGGAGCGAGGGGGGAAGAGAGAGAGGAAACATCGACGTGAGAGAAACACATCGATTGGCTGCCACCCACACGACCCCAACCAGGGCCTGGGACACACCGCAACCGAGGTACGTGCCCGTAGCGGGAACTGAACCCGGGACTCTCTGGACCGCAGGCCAACGCTCTGACCGCTGAGCCAACCTGGCCAGGGCCAGAAGGTCCTTTTTAAAGGCCAAAGCACAGACTCGCTCGAACTCACGCCCTCGGAGCTCAGTGCTGGGCTCAGCTCACCAGCACCAGGCACACACGGGGAGGAACTGAACTGTCTGGCATCGGGTGAGGGCTGGAGGGCAGAAGTCCTGGCAGTGGCCCTGCTCCTCTGCACACCCTCCCCCACTGGGGGCACTGTGTCTGAGCCTCCAGCAACCTGCCACACTGCCGGCTGCCACACACAGCCTGTGGGCCCACCCGAGCCGTTTCCAGAGGCTCTCCCACACGAATGTGTGTCGTGAATCATGCTCCGAACTTTCCGAAATCTCTCGAACAAGCAGCGTCTGGCCTCTGCGTGCCCCCGCCTCTTGCTGAGTGGCCCGGGCCTGGCACAAGCAGCCTGTGGTCCTCAGTGCGGGCTCTCCTGGGCACTTCGAAGCCAGCACGGGGAGCAGCCTTCTGCACATCGCTCTGTGGCTCATGCCAGGTGGCCCTGGGCAGGTACGGGCAGGGGCTGACTTTGGCCTTCGCCCCTGGGAGGCCCAGACCGAATGGACAGCTCCAGACCACACTGAGGCACCACCCAGCCGCCTCCATGAGGGACACTCGGGGCAGGGCGCAGAGCCGCAGAGCGTGAGCAGGGGAGTCCTGCTCCGTGGGGTGGCCCCTCACCGCACATCCACAGCACCGGTGGGCCTGGGAGTAAGCCCCTCCCACTGCTGTGCCAACGGCAATCAAGGCTCAACGACGACAGGGGGGCGCACGCAGCCACACGGGTGCGCCTGCGGTTCCCAGGGAGGCTGCTCCCCTGCCGGCAGGACACCCGTCCACCAGGCCGCACTGCGCAGAACGGGAGGCGCGGCAGCGCTACTGACGCCCGGAAGCAAACGGAGAGGCTGCCCAGGTGAGCGGACGGAGAGACAGGCCACAGATGCCGTTACTGTTCCACAGACTCTCCCCAAAGCCAAACAACACGGAGACAAACAATCTACCAGATGCAGAGGTCAAAACCCTGGTCATAAAAGTGCTCAATGAACTTCGGGAAGAGAAGAGGGAGCAGGCCTCAGGAGACACCGACCTCAGTGCCGGAGCCTGGCCCGGCCGCCACAGCTGCAGGACATGCATTTCCGTCGTCCATCAGCTGCCCTCTTTACGGGGACATAGGGCAGAGGACATGTTCAAAGCGAATATGAATACATTCCTGAAGCGGATGACTGGGGTGACCCCTAGAGAAGACCAGACCACACGAGGAACGTGTGAGCCCTGAGTCCCGAGCTGGGCGCCTGGTTTCCGACAAGGGGAAGGGAGACTGAGTCGACGGGGGGGGGGGGGGGGGGGGGGGGGGGCGCGGGAGCAGCAGAGCTCCGCCTATCGTTCTCCAGCTTGTTCCGATTGGCTCTTTACAGTTAAAGTTAATATGTAAATGTGAATTGACGTTCACAGTTATATTATTTAAAAGTTGCCGAGTTTAACCCTAAGGAGCTGGGGGGCGTCCTCTGAGACTCGCCGGGCAGTGCGGGGAGACGCACCGTGCGCCGGCTCTGCCACAAGCCAGCCCCAAGGCAGCACCTCTGCCGTCCACTCTGCCGGGCAGGGACCGCGGCCCTGGCTGCATCTCACTGTGCCCCGGAACTGTTCCGAGGGCTCCCGCCCCCTCCTCACCTTCACGCCCTCCTCACCTTCACGCCCGCATCACGGGTAGGCGTGCTCGCTCTCCACGCCATCCACAGGCACGGACTGTGGCAGAGTAATGCCTGTGCCACCAAAAGTGCTCCAGCCGGACTCAGACCCAAACCTGCGATCCAGGGTCCCGGCCCTGCGTTCCCTACAGTCACCTTTCAAAACAGCAACCCCGTCACTGTGCGCGGCGTCGTGTGGCATCGTGCTGATTTACTCTCCTGCAGAGCAGCTCCATGTCTTTCCCCCTGGCATGGACATCTACCGACAGCTGGGACCTCGTCTGTCTTGCTCATTTGCTCATCGCTTACTTGTATGAAGGTGCCTGACATGTAATAGGTACTCAACACACATGTGTGGAATGAGAAATGAACCCACTGTGGCTATGTTTATCAGACACCTGAATTTCAGGCATGACACCGTGATAAGTCCTGGAGGCCGTGGTGTCCCCACTGCTCGTTACAGCAGAACCACCGCACGCTGTCAGCCAGCCGCAGTCACGGGCACCGGTGGGCGGGCAGCTGGGAGACTGTCCCTTCTTCCGTCAGGGGAGTGCTACTCCCTGTGCACCGGAATCAAAGGGATCTCAGTTTAAATACAGACTTCTAGCTAGCCCGGGCAAGTGTCTTTCTTTTCTTTTTTTTGTCCATCGGTTTATTTTGTTCATTAGATTCCACATAGAAATGAGATCGTATAGCATTTGTCTTTCTCTGACTGGCTTATTTCTCTTAGCATTATCCTCTCCAGGTCCATCATGCAGTCACAAAAGGTAAGAGATCTTTCTTTCTTACAGCTGCATAGTACTCCACTGTGTACATGTACCACAGCTTTTTTACCCACTTGTCTACTGATGGGCACTTGGGCTGTTTCCAGATCTTGGCTATTGTAAGTTCCTTCACCACTCAAAAAAATCAGTTTCTTGATATGCATCGTAATGATGACGGCATCTAACTCAAGTGTAGGCATAAGGATTAAATGGGGGTAACATGTGTGAAACAATGCATTTCATAGCTTTACCCAGAATATATTTTTGAAGCTTCTCTCTCTAACGATTTTTTAAAGAAGCAAATAAAAAATATTATGGCTGAGTTTCCCCAGTACAAAAAGTACATCTGTGATTAGTAAAAACCTCTGTCGCTTTAGTATCTGTGTTTGAATGAACGCCTATGTAGACTTTCCAGACAGTTGGAGTATTCTTATCAAGTATATAAACAGACTTACCTGGGCTAATCAGATATGTTTTTATATTATATGCTCTTCAGATTTTGGTTTTGTCTAAACGCACCGATTGAACTGAATGACATAAACCGAGGTTGAGCATGTGACTGTTTTGGGTGACCTGCCGGCAGTGTTGTGATCGCTGAAGCAGCCCATCCACCCGCATGCCCTCTGACCTTTCCGCTGACCATGATCCACGAAGAGCCGACGTGTTTCTCCTCCCGTGACTACGGCCCATTTCCCAGGGGCGCTCAGGGCTTCCAGGAAAGCCCGAGACCTACGGGACCTTGCAGCTTCTGCTGTCGCCCCTGGAAGCCAACGGCCCCGTAAAGTGCTGGGGCTGCCCGCTGGGAAGACAGACAGACAGACAGGCCCGGACAGCCCCCCGCTGCTCAGCCAGCTCAGGCGAGGGACAGACCACGTGACTGAAGCCACCTCGAGGTCCAGACCCAGACGGGCCATCCCAGACGACCCCACGTGGATGCCAGACAAGCTGCACCTGACCAATCCTGGCCGAGAGCAGAGCACAGGGAAGAAGGATCTAAGCGACTGCACTTGGGGGAGTTTTTTACATAGCAACAATGACTGAGGAACACCTTCACTGGTCGGTCACTCCAACCAGCCAAGGTGACTGGCTCGGCCACGCGGCCACGCGGCAGCATCAGGGCAGCGCCAGGGATGCGGCCGGCAGTACGTCAGCGGCCCTCAGGCTAGCCTGGCTTCGTCACCCGCTGCCACTCAGGCCTGCGACCCGGTGCAGTGGCCCCCCGGGGGCACCGAGGCCCCAGCTGCCCACTGTGGCAGCCGCGGGCTCCCCCATCGCTCACAGGTGTCTGTTCGCGTCTCTGCGGGGAGTGGAGTGGTTTGAAACGTCCTCAGTGAAAATGGGTGCATGAGGACACCCGCTACTCTGAGAGAAATGGCGAGATGAATATTGTCACGGGCACTTGGTACCTGCAAGTGTGATTTCTGGCTTATTTTACAGCTAGGCTAAAACCCCATGGCTCAGCTCACAGTATTATATGTGCTCCATCAATAAGGAGAAAATATCCTCAAACACAATTTCTAATTTACAAGCTTATGACAAGTTCAAGCTGCTGAGAAATTGGACTTGAAAGTATGTCTCAGAATGATAGAAGGCCACTATTAACACTATCATAATTGTATACCGACGGCATCAAACCTGACATTTCAGTTTAATATATTTTGCTGAGCGAGCGTAGCGTTTTATGGCTTCCTAGCGAAATCAAAACCAAGCCAGACGTTTTCACTTTTCTGATCTAATTCACTGCAAGGTCTTAAATGGCCATCTCTTTTCTTCCTTTTCCCTGAAGATTGATGCCCTGGCATTCGGTAATTCCACAGGAGCTCATAATGGGTCAATGAGTCAGTGGTGAGCACCTCCATTAACTATATTAATTTACACTGTGTCACCTTAATGGCATTTCGTGGCAGCTACTTTTTCTGACATCTACATAGCTATTCAAAAGTAATATAACAACTACTGAAGGCATTAAGGAAAATTAGTAGGAGAACTTCACTGAGTTGGATGTCATTGTTACCACGCCTGCAGAGGGGAGGAAGAGGAGGTAGGAAGTGAAGACAGACTGGCGGACTTAACTCTGGAGACCCGTCCTGACAGGCCGCCTCACCAACACCGCCCGTGCAGCTTGCGCTCATTAGCACAGGAAGGGCTGGCGTTAATAGAGAGACGGAACACAACCCTCTCCCGCCCTCTCCCGTGGCTGTCTGAGTCAGGACACACTGCAGAGAGGTTTTTCTTCAGAAAGGAAAAAACATTTCTTTACAATTATATCACACGCTTTAGTTTTACAGCGTATGGATAAAAATTCGAAAGCTGAGGTTTTATTTATTTATTTTTTATTTATTTATTTTTTAATCCTCACCCGAGGATATTTTTCCATTTTTTGTACAGATAGAGTGGGAGGGGGAGAGAGAGAGAGAGAGAGAGAGAGAGAGAAACATCGACGTGAAGGGACACATCGAGTGGCCGCCACCCGCACGACCAACCAGGGCCGGGGACAAACTGCAACCGAAGTACGTGCCCCTAGCGGGAACCGAACCCGGGTCTCTCCGGACCGCAGGCCGACGCTCTAACCGCTGAGCCAAACCGGCCAGGGCGAAAGCTGAGGTTTTAACACGCAGTTAGCAAAACGACTATTACTCTTGGTAACATATTCTTCCCTGTTAAATCTGGTATTATTGAAGGGGGAAAATACTGTATACTTTAATCAATATATTTAAATATAAATTTAGAAAATCTCAAGGTAACACCAGTACTACCAACATTTTTAACATTTCTTTTTTTTTTTTCCTCTTTTTTTTTTTTATCCTCACCCGAGGATATTTTTCCATTTTTTGTACAGATAGAGTGGGAGGGAGAGAGAGGAAGGTAGAGAGAGTGAGAAACATCGACGTGAAAGGGACACATCGAGTGGCTGCCACCCGCACGACCAACCAGGGCCGGGGACAAACTGCAACCGAGGTACGTGCCCTCAGGGAGAACCGAACCCGGGTCTCTCCGGACCGCAGGCCGACACTCTAACCGCTGAGCCAATCTGGCCAGGGCTTAACATTTCTTTAATGAGAAACCCCGAAGTCTGGTGCTAGAAAGGAAAAGACTGGTCCATCTGAACACACACACACGTGTGTAATCCTGAATGCTACAAATGAACACACAGAGATGCTACACTTTCCCTGGATCCATTTCCTTTGACGTTTGCTTTAAAAAAGAACTGAACAAAAGTTGTGTCTGTCCAATTGTCTTACAATTAGGGACACTGTAACTGCCTTTTAAAAGCGCTTTCGATAGATACACATACATCAGAAAATGACAATTTCCACTTCAATTCACTGCCTTTGTTGGGCCAAGGCCCGGACGGAATGACCCTGTAGCACTGCTACCTGGAATCGACGACGGGGAAACGGCTCGAAGAAAAAGGGCTTAAATAAGAAGCACACACACCTACGCAATGGCCAGGTCATCTCGTCTTACTGCCAGGAAAAGGGCGACAAAAATGAGAGGACGAACGTCTTTCACTGTTTTGAATACAACCAGTTTTTAAACCAAAGTGCACAGAGAGCAGCAAACCTTAGCACCTAACAACGGCCGCGCAGGCCTGGGAGGCGTCCGCTCCGGCTGCTGCTGGGTGCGGCCTGTCGGCTTAATCTAATGTGTGCTGGTGCGAGTGTCCCCAGGCACAGCCCAGGAAAGGCACAGAAGAGCCCACATTTTAAATGGGTCTTGTCATTAATGCTTTATTAATTGCCTGAGGCTACGCAGACCCAAAGCTGGGCAAGCTATAACAATATGACACATTAAGGTCAAATACAATTCCTGCTGTGTTTTATGGGATGGGCCAAATATTGAGTTAACAGCAGGAAAGTCAATTTATGGGCTGTTCTTCCCACCTCCTGATTATTTGATCTAAATTAGATAGGAATTTTCTGGAATAATGAAAGCACCTCCACCGAGTAACATGAAAGGGCCCCGAGTCACTCTGTGAGGCCCTGAGCTCCCCCTGGTTCCCTGCAGGCCAGAGGGCGGTGACCGCAAATGCAAAGGCTCACGACGCACTCGCACTCCGATTAAAGTTGCAACGTATATTTTAAGTCTTTTTTTATCCTCACCTGAGGAAACGTGAATTGATCTGAAAGGGGGAGGAACGGAGAGAGACAGAACCATCAGCGGCTGCCTCTGTGCAGGGTTAGACAGAATCCGCCCCCTAGGGTGTGCCCCGACTGGACATCAGACCCGCAACCACCGTTCGGTGCCCGGGACGGTGTTCCAACCACCTGGGCTACCCGCCAGGACTCAGCATATGTATGAATTAAATCAATACCAACATGTAAAAGGGCCTACCTTTACATCCGAAGTATCTCTCTGGCTAGTTCTCCAAGACCTTGCAACGGATGAGAAGGTCCGATCCGGATGGTCAAATTTTCCATCGTTTGCATTGAGGGAGAAGGTTGTGAAAGGTTCCTAAGCAAAATCACAGAAAAAGAAAAATTTAACTCCTCTGAACACAGCTGCCCCCAGTCCTTTGTAAAATATGACTTTCTTTTGTTGTTGTTGTTAATCCTGAGCCAAGGATATTTTTTCCATTAATTTTCTAGAGAGAGTGGAAGGGAGAGAGTGTGTGTGGGTGGGGGGGGGGGGACACGGACATGAGAGACACGCATTGATTGGTTGCCTCCCGTACACGCCCCGACTAGGGCCAGGGATCAAGCCTGCAACCCAGGTGCGTGCCCTTGACCAAGCATCAAACCCACAACTCTTCAAGTCATGGGCCAACGATCCAACCACTACCCCACACTGGACTGGCCAGGGCAAATATGACTTTCTCTGACACCCCCTTGAGGTGGAAACAGTGCGGGGACCCGGAAGGATGCCCCCACGAGGAGTCAGGAGGTGCTCTTTGGGCCTGACTAGTCAGTCACCTCTCTGCAGCCTCAGCAGGTCATTTGCTTCTTGGGCCTTCTGATCTAGGAAATGATGGAGTTACAGTGCTGTGTGATTCTGTGAATTGTTTTGCACTATTGTCCATTCACAACTCAGATTTTCTTTCTCATAGCTAAGGCCACACGTAGTAGCTGCAATAAGAAAATCACTCTGAGCCTGGCTGGTGTGGCTCAGTGGATGGAGTGTAGCCCCATAGACTGAGAGGTCCCAGTTCGATTCCTGGTCAGGGCACACGCCCGGGTTGCAGGTTTGGTCCCCAGTAGGGGGCGTGCAGGAGGCAGCTGATTGATGTTTCTCTCTGACATGAATGTTTCTCTTTCTCTCTCTCCCCCTTCCTCTGTCTAAAAAAATCAATAAAAACATATATATACACACATAAAGGAAAAGAGAGAGACAATCCCTCTGATGCCTGCTAGGGCGATACGGAATTAGGTAGGGAACGTCCATGTGGACTCCTCATCAAAGCTGACTACAGTCCTTGTGCCGCATTACGGCCTGGCGACATTTCAAGACACGAATCCCTGCTCGCCGTCCTCCCAGAGCCGTCAGAGCTCTTAGGAGAAATATAAACTACCTGACTTGTCCTTCAAGTTTTCTGTGACTATTCCCTACGACGACAGTGTCTGTCACCCACAGCGTGTTCCCACAGCTGAAACCAACAAATAACTTTATCACAAGGTCCTAATGCATTTAATATTAGTGATTTTTCGTGGTTGTATTGGGAGAGAGACATTATTGCTGACGTCATTAAATTTGCTTCCAAATTTAAAAGAATTAAAAAGCTTTCATTCTTATTAAGGATTTCTTAGTTAAGTATAAGTATAAGAAAGGTAAATATATATTTCCTTTTTCATGGGTCAATTCTTCACTCAAATCTAGGATGAATGATGTGTCACTTCTAGGTTCAATGACGCTAAGAAATCTTTCCTAAATATTCAGTTTTTTCTTTAATATATAATCTCTTCATTCTTCTGTATCCATAAAACATGACTTTGCTCCTTTCAAGTCCCCTTTTGCCACCAGCCATGTAAGTCCGGCTGCCTGGTAACAGCTACAAATATTCATCGTGCTCAGCTTCTTCCTATAATTTAGCGTGGCGAGATGTCACCAATCTGATAAGTGTGTAATGTATCACCAACATTTCCTGTGCACTGTGGGATGACAGAAAGGTATCCTGAAAGAGAAAAGATGAAGAATGACAGATAGAAGAACACAAAGGTAGGGGGATTATTGATCCCCCTGAAAATCAGATATGCATCCAAGAAGTCCATATTGCTGGTTAAGATTTTAAGTGATATGAGAGACAGATAGATATCAAGAAAATTAAGTTAGGAAAAAAAAAATGAGATGCCTTTCACTAATTCATTTGCTTCCTAGTGTTTTAACTCGCTATTAACTATAAAGTAGTTAATGCAGTCTGTCTTAGCACTAAATTAAATTAAAGTGAGGGTATACAGATCCAGTGGTAGATCAAATGGAAGGTGGCAAATCTCAGTTTGAATCTTGGTGGATCCAATTACCTCTCTTAGACCAGGTACTTGACCTGTAGTAGTTGTAGTAAGCATCTCTGTCCTTTCCTCGTGCTTATGTGGAATGACAACACCTTGGGGGTAATTATGGGAATTACAGAAGATGAAATAATACTGAGAAAGCCTGAAGTATCTTACCCGTCACAGAGTTATACAATGAGCGCCAGCCTCATGCCTGTGCCCGGCCCACAGCTGGGCCCGGCCCCGACGGCCCGTTCCCCAGACAACCCTTCCAGGCTCAGTCTTCCTCCCTCAGCTTGGAACCCTCAGATCCCAGCACAGAGCTTGGTCACCGTCAGTGTTCAATAAATGTTTGTTGAACATGCCTACACGTACAAGATCATGTATGGGGCATGGCTGGGTAAAAATAAGATCGTTTTTCTTGCTAGTTCCTAACCGCTGGCTCGACCAAAATGTGGTATGTTCAGAATCCATGTCTTCATTATTCTAGGATGCCGACTTTAATGTTTTCCTTCTTTGAATAGTGAGATTAGTCCAGAGGGATCAGACTTCTCTCAGTGGGTTTTCACCCCTTCAGGAGCTCTGAGCGAACCCGTTCACACCGTGGAGCCTGACTTCTCATCCCCACGCACTACACGCGGTCTCCACTCCGCCCACACGGTCCCTCCTGGTTTCGCCCCTTCGGAGACCTGCTAAGAACCGCACAGACGGGCACAGTGAAAAGAAACCAGAAGTTGAAGAAGTTTTTTTTTTTTTTTTTCCTGGACATGAAGTTTATGAATCTAGTGGCACCTAAAAGCAGAAAATACTACAGAATTCCACGATGCATTGTTGCAAGTGGCTTTTAGAAAGATTGATTAACAACTGTCTTCGGGTCACAGACGACATCACGGACATATAATCCCCACTATTCCCGAAGGCCTGCAGCTGCTTCGCTGGGAGAGAACTGATAGAAATTGATAACCTATTTGTTTATAAGTGAGGATTGATTTTCAAGCTCTGTTACCATGGAGATTACCCTTTTCCGCGTATTTCCCTGTCACCTTCCTGACACCGGGCAAGGCCTTTCTCTTTTGTGTGACTGACACAGAGGGTCAAATGCTACATTACAGCTTAAGGAACTTTTCTTCTCCACCTAACGCACGCCGACTGAACTATTTTCTCTATGCAGATCACCACATCAGAGGTTCTGCTATTGCTCCAGGGAAGCTTTGGCTCGGGAAATAAAATGTACGAATGAATAAATATTGAACAGAAATTTCAGAAATTAAAATACTGGCCCTTGTGGGGCTTTAAAAAGTTGAGGTTTAGGTCCTGTAATTTCAGTGGCTGATGGCAGACTTCCTTCCCCTAATTACATCTACCTGAAGGTCACTTCACACCTTCCAAACCTTTCATTTCTAGGAAATGAAATTCAGCCGTCTTGCACTGGGAAGTGCCTGTCCCACTGAACTGTCATAACCCTCAGTCCCCTGCAAAGACACTAACAAGCTTTGCTGACTCCCAGTGGCTACAGCCTAACGCGTCCCTCCCGAGCCCTCCTCTGACCTGCCCCTCTTGCGTGAGCCCACTGGCTTATTCTTCTGGCTACGTGAGCTCGGCTCCATCACCTCGTGAGACTCTGTGGAGTCCCTCTCTCCGCGTACATCTTTACCGACTCTTCATCTTACTTCCAACAAAATCCATCCATGGGTAATAGGTAGTGTTGGGATAGAACTGTACCGAAGAAAAGATGTCTATTTTAAATTGGTATGAAACAGAAGAAATACTAAAAGGAGGGAACTAAGTAAGAGTACTGAGCACCTTTCTGTGCTCGGCACTGTATTAATTCCAGCTAACTGAGTTCTCACGGTTCTCCTCAAGAGTAGGTACAATGACCCCTGTTTTATGTCTGATAAAGTTCAAGATCACATTCTGAGTATAAAGGAACCATCATTTCCCCTGTGCTTTAACTTCAGAAGTTTATTTTCTCCAACTGCTTTTGAAAGAACCCAAAAGTATTTTAGGATCTCTAGGTCTCTATTAATTCACCTATGTAACTACTGTTCACCATGCTCTTGATGAAGAATTCCTAGTCTTTCTCCAAGTAAATAGGCGTGGTCCTTAAACATCAGCATTCAGGATAAACACGACAATGGTATTTAATTCAGCAGCATTTTTTGTTTTTGTTTTTAATTACAACACTTGCAAAAGTGTTTCTATTATTTTCTTCACAGCAAAAATATATTTAAAAAAATATATTATGATTTAAACAGACTCTTGGGTAAGCTTTCAAAGCAACCCATAATTTATAAAGTCCCAAATTTTAGACAACTGCTTTATAAATTAAATCTCATTGCAAAATCTATGTAATTAAATGTTTGACAAATGAATTTTGAATAGGTGCGTTGAATATACTGCATTTAGAAGGTGCACTGGTTATCAGGGGGTGTAAAGGTCAGAAAGTAAAATTCAATTACTTCTCTCTCTATGTTATATGTTCAGGGTAAGCTATAAAGTAAAAACTTTCTAAATAAAATGTGTCCTTTAATACTGGTCAATATCTGAGAAACTCCAAACTCTGCTAAAACAGTTTATTCATCATTTGTCTGATGGCAGCTAGCAAGAAAAGGAGTCTGTTCACAGTCGTAAATTTAGACAAGTGACTTCACTGGTAGTTTGTCTGAAATAATATTTTTAATTTAAAGTCATGTGGTATGTAGTTAATTCACAAATTTAAAATAATTATTATCATTGTCATACTAAATATATTGAGTAAAACTAATAATGACTTTGGGTTTAAACTGCTTTTGAAAGGTAAAGGGCAGACACTTTAACTTGTATTTTGTTTTTAGGAACAAATTTCTAGAGACATGGATTTTAGCACGTGTTCTGCTTCATAAACTCCTACTGGGATGGGAGTGAGGAAATCACAGTTCCCTGGGACATTAGGTTAAACACTTACTAAGCTATTAGACCATGGTACTTCCATTTGTAATAGCACAACACAGGATGCTCTGGCTAAATGATTCCCCACGAAAGCAACCCTATTGATCTGTTATATCTGCTGCAGTAGCCACTGGCCACACATAGCTCCTGAGCACTTGGGATTCAGCTATTTATATCTTTATTTACATATCTGGATGTGCAATAAATATAAAAAAAAAATTCTGGATTTCGAAGACAGCCAAAAAAGTAAAACATCTCATCAATAATTTTTTATTGGTAAATATTAAAACATTGTAACTAAAGCCTATCTAGTCATTGTAAATAATTATCTGTCATTTTTGACGGATTGGGGCAGGGTGAGGATTTAAATCTTCAGCTCAATATTAACACTTAAAGGCTTATTCAATTTTTTACCATTTTACTGAAAATACTTAAAATCTGATTTTATAGCTTTTTTTGTAAGCTGTGCCATGAAATTTGAAAACCACCAAAAATCAAGGGAAATTTTGTATTTAATGACCTTTTCTGGTATAATGTGACATTCTAAAGGCTATTGATGCATGTCCACTCAATATAACCCCGGTTTTGAGATACAACTATTCAGGTTTTACTGGTGACATTAGATTAGTAGTTGCATTAAATAACTAAATTCCCATTGTGATTATTTATTGATATTTTGTCTTTCAGCAAAAAGTTATTTGTGACCATAAATTTTGTGCTTAGAGAACGTGTGTGTTTTTATCTGTCAGTTTGGGGGGGTGTAAGCTTTGCATCATTAGTGAATTCATGTGGGTGTGTAGTTTTTTTGAAAAATATAGCTATAGATATTTGAAAGATATTTAAATAAATAAATATTGAAATAACACTTTAAGTATATTGGGCTAACAAAATGTATTTGTTAATATTAATTTCACCTGTTTCTTTTTATTCTTAAATGTGGCTACTAGACATTTTAAATCACATAGTGGCTTGCATTACACTTCTGTTCTTAGCACCACACGGGTAGCACTATGAGGCGTGTGCAAGATGTGCACGTGTATAGATAGCATTTCCGCCATACCCTCGCATAAATTCAAATTTGTATTCTATTAGGTTAAATTACAATTTATTATTTGAGAAAATGTTTAGCTTATCAGGAATAGAAGGGTATAAACTGAAATCAAGCTGTTGAAAGTAAGTACTTTTATGGGCTCCTACTTAAAAAGTCTTATAAATCTGACTTCAGACTAATTTGATTACACAAAACCATTAAGTATTGCTTTACAGATTTCAAAATACTGTCATATATGACATATGTATCATAAATATGATATATGTATTCTCATAACACCCCCCTTGATGTTTTTTCAGAAATAGTTCCTGATTTTTTTTTCAATCCCCAAATACTGAAGAGAGGTGTCTCAGTCCCCCATGGTGGTGGCTCACTACAGCGATGACTGTCCTCGGTGGGACATGATGTGATGTGGAAAAGCCTCTCGGGTTGGAGATCTCTGGCTCGCCTGCTTTCTGAAAAGGTTTCTCCAGCAGTTCCGGGAGGCCCCCGAGCTCCGGGAGCACCCCTCGATGGTGCCAGGTGGGCTGTGCTGCCGAAGATCTCCGCCTCCCGCCTCCTGAAGCCGGTGTGTTTTCTCCTGCCTCCCAGAGGGGATCCTAGCGGCAAACAGAGCTGCACCTTCTGACACGTTTTCTCTAGGTTTTCCCCACCTCCTCTGCCGATACTTTGTTACGACATTTACAGCTGATACGTCATTTCCCGCCACGGGACTGAGTCTGGCTTACGAGCTGACCGTTCGGTGGTCAGAGGATCTAACTGCCACCATCCTGTTTCCCTGGCTGCCTGCCTGCGAGCCCGCATGAGCCGCGGGTGTATCCGTGTCCACCGTGAAGGGTCCCTCTCCTGGGCGGGACGGGCACACTTCCTGCTTCCAGGCTCAGCGCCACCTGTGGCGGAACGCAGGCTGGAAGCCACAACTCGGTGTCTGCAAGTCAGAGAACCCGGCTCTTCTGTGACTGTTCTTTATTTCCCTGTGCCTGGGAAGTACTGATGAATTATACAGTCCATAAACTAAAGGTGTTCTGTTCTGCTTGGTTTATGGTGGTAAAAAGGTACTTATATATGTCTAATATTGCCCCCAAAGTAAGAGAAAATAAATAGAACTTCTTATACTTTAGAAGTGCTAGAGTTAAAAATAACTCTTAAACAACTAGCTCTGAAACATTTTTGCAAAAAAAGGCCCCAAGATCACATAATTAAACTGAATTTGTTTAAAACAAATTAGACAAGCAACTTTGATCTATAAAAGAAAGTGTTATATTTTCCTCTAGCTTATCATTACAGTTTATTTTTTAAAATAAGATTTGGATTTGTTTTCTTATGGACTAGTCAACCTACACTTCTTAAACTTCTTATGCTGGTTTAGGATTATGAAAAATATAAAATTAGTGTTCAATTATTCTGACCAACTTCTTTTGTTTTTAAGTCCTCACCCGAGGACTTTTTTTTCTATTTATCTTCAGATTGAGTGGGAGGGAGGGAGAGAGAGAGAAACATCGATGTGAGAGAGACTCATCTACCAGCTGCCTCCTGCACGACCTCAAGCAGGAACGGGGACCGAACTGCAACCAGGGTACGTGCCCTGGACCGGAATTGAACCCGAGACTCATTGGTTCGCGGGCCGACACTCTAACCCGAGCCAAACCAGCCAGGACCAAACTTTTTTATAACAGAGACTGTTTGCAGTATATCACTTATCAGTGACTTACAAGTTACTAAAACAGTCATACGAGGCAGCTGTAGTAAGTTCAGTGTCTCCTCTACGCGTGGAGAACGCGTGAGCAGCTGGAGGGGGACCCCACCTCCGCTGCCCCGGGCCCAGGGCAGACAGCACCTCTGCGGCAGGAGAGGCTTCGTGCGTGGGCCTCCGCATGGCTTCTAAGCAGATCAGCCCCCCGCAAAGTGGTCTGACGGAGATTTGGGTAAGGAGAGAAGGAGACTGATTGTCTTGGTTTAGAGAGTGGATTTAGCTTTCTAGAATACTCCTCTGTTGCTCAACGGGACTAGACTGGAAAAGGCAGGACTCCAGGCGGAGAGACTGGTCCAGAGTTTTGCAATAATCTAGATGAGAACTGATGGGGACCTGGACTAAGGAAATGCCCGAGTCAGCAGGGAAGCAGGCAGATTATGGAGATGTTGCGTTGGCAGAACGGATACACCTGACTGGATGGGAGGGGATGGGAAACAGGCACATGCCCACCGGCCGGTGAGCGAGCACGACGTTGACTTGGGCAGGAAATGCAGCAGGAGCCACAGCAGGTTGGCAAGGGAGAGCAGTCCCTCTCCGAGACGGTGTCTGCGGGACTGAGAGAGTCCTGGCAGAAGCACCCCATGGGGTGTGCAAAGACATACGTGCTGCATACAGGCCGGGCGCAGCGAGGTGCCTGCCACACACACCGAAGCGGGAGGTCCTTAGCTTGTACTCGCGTGGCGCGGGCCAGGCAGAGCTCGTGCACACGTCCAGGGGAGCAGAAACACTGAGAGAAAAAGCTGAGGGTGGGCAGAGGGACCAGAAGACACTGTCAGAGGAGCCACGAGAGGGAAGACTCAGGAAGGAGAAAGTAAGCGGCGGGGTTCAGGGCTCCAGCGACATCAGTAAGGGGCACAAAGCTCCAGCCCCACGACTGATGACCGGAACGCAGCAGGCTCGGCCGTAGGGGAGGTGACCAGCCAGGGCAGGCCCTGGCCACTGCTCCCGGCACGGCCACTTCCTAGGCAGGGAGGGGGACACATGGGAGGCACCGCTGAACGGGAGCCACTAATTAATTAGAGCAAAGAGACTGCAATAGCTTTATACCTTAGAAGAAAGAGAAAGGAATACAAAGAAGTCACCAAACTATCTGGAAGCTGTTTATAAATATACTGCCCAGGAGGGAAGGCCGAGGGCCGGGGAGAGTGTCCACCTGCGGCGACCGGCGAGGAAGGGAGCGGCTGTAGAAGATGCACCGGCCCTTCCCGCCGCCCGGCCCAGGCACCTTCCCCCCGGCCCGGACCCAGGCACCTTCCCGCCGGCCCGGGCCCAGGCACCTTCCCGCCGCCCCGGCCCAGGCACCTTCCCGCCGGCCCGGGGCCCAGGCACCTTCCCGCCGGCCCGGCCCAGGCACCTTCCCGCCGCCCCGGCCCAGGCACCTTCCCGCCGGCCCGGGGCCCAGGCACCTTCCCGCCGGCCCGGCCAGCAGACAGCTCATAGGACGCGCGGACCGGGGGTGGCTAGGGTTTGCAACCCCCCGTTGCGCTGGTCTCTGATCTTGAAACCACCAGGGCATCTGACTTTCCCTCCGCGGCCACCGCGGGGCGCACGGCTGGCAGAACCCACGCGGATACTCACGATGCGGACGAGCCAGGCCAGGGTGGACGTGGCCGTGGAGTAGTGCATGTTGTAGTGGAAGGGCGGGCTCTGCTCGTCGTCCCACGTCTCGTAGCGCTCGGCGTAGAACACGGCCCTCTTGGGGTTCAGGGCGCCGATGGGCTGTGCGGAGAGAAGACCTCTGTTAACAGCCGCCTCGGACACCACGACACCACCCGACCTGCAGAGCCGGCTGGCCGGGGGCAGCAGTAAGTGACTTTACCCCGTATTTGCACCAAGTTCGATTTGAAAGTAACTACAGATCATCACACGCGATATAAACGCCGTGGCAGGTTGTGCGTGCACCAAGGTTTCCCGATTTCACCAGGTGCCACGAAACCGGGTCAGCCGAGGGGAAGCGGTTTAAACCGGAAAGGGCAAAGCCAGTCTCTTCATGTTCTTTCCCCGCTGCAAACCGCAGGGCGTCCGCTCGACGGCGGGGAACCCCGGGGAGAACCGGTCTCCCGCCACGCAGGGGTGCAAGGCTGTCGCCCACCTAGAAGCCTCGTGGGAACGTCAACCCGGTTCGGCTTCACGGAGGCAGCACGGATCTTCTCCAGGAGGCTAACTGCACCGCGAGGGCTGAAGAAGGAGCCCAGACAATGCAGATTCCCGGGTCAGGCCACGGAGTCCCCTGAACGTGCGGCCGCTCCGCCCACCACGGCCGCGATCCTCACAGTGGGTCACACGCTCAGGGTAGTTCTCAGGGAACAATACATACTTTTCTTTCAACAGAGCACGTTGTTATTAGATCATTGTCTCCAGTTTCTTAGCACACCTAATCAGGAAGAATTTCTAGCACAGTGTCCTCATGATTGCAAACAGCAAACTGCCTGGCTTAAGTTTTTGTCTGATTTGGGGATAGGGAGTCCACTCTCATGTTACCTGATAGCTGCATTATTTTATTTCAGGTTGCATAGTCTAAAAATAAACGTTTATAGAGAAAACAAAGGATGAATACTAAGTATAATGTGTAACTTCTTTATTTCGAAATTTAATATTACCAGTTAATTATGAAATTCCCCCCAAGGCTTAATTTTAACAAGAGAAGTAGTAGAAAATTAGTGTCTCAATGGAACGTATAACGTTACACAAGAGAGAAATATTCATTTATAAATTGCTTGTAAGCTTTTTTCTTTTGGTCCTTGGGGAATAATCCAAACAACACAATGTTGTCAGCTGTTAAAATCTCTTAGAATTTCCATAATAAATGCTTATTTGCAAGGGTTTTTATCCTGAGTATTAAAATTATCTGTAAATTATTTTCATTTTTCAACTTAATTATGACTTAAGACTAAACAATTTAATACTTTACTTTGTAAAAACGTTGTTATATATATATATATTTTTTAAATGTTCTAAGGATCAAACTTCATTGTGTTAAATCTCACTGGTATGCCTCAAATCTTTTTATTCAGATGCAAAAACGCAATGTAATTTCATTAAATGTCACATAAACTATTAATAATATTTTGAACAAATACAGCATTACTTTTTTGGTAAAAAGGTAATTACTACAGAGAAATAAATGTGAGTTCTGTTATAATGTAGTAACAGAAATAGTATGTTTTTTTTATTTAAAATGGCCTGCATATCTTATACTTTCCGAGGTGTGCAGATGTGTGCTTTTCTAGCTCAATGTTAAAGTATATTTTTCAAAGCATTGAACGCGGTCAACGCTGTCTTCTGTCTTGAATATGCTAATAAAGTTTTCAGAGGCGCAGCGTGTCTGCGTGCTGAAGGCTCGACCTTATCTGACACTGTTGGTTCTGCAGACCTCATGAGACGTTCTTGCAAAAGGAACGTGGTCCTTCTGTAATCTTTTCCAGCCTTCTCTTCAACTACTGCAAAGGGATGGAATAAATATTTATACTTTTCATTTTCCTGAAGTCTCATCAAAGCCTCCTGTTGGAGTGTCTTACACAACACTCCTCTGTAGAATCCAGTCTGCACATGCCTTCATTTGTAACTTAAAATACATTTCTCATTTCGAATTTTTATCTAGTGCATTTAGAAACAAATTTTATGAAACAAAATGTAAATGATGTGGCTTGTACTTATTATTTTGTTCTTATTTTGCTTCTAGTAATCAAGAAGCAATAAATCATTCCAAGGAACACTGCTTTAAAATGTCTGTTTGGGGAATGAGAATTTCATCACAGATGACCTATTTCTTATAGAATCCAAACAGATTTATGTATCTATCAATCAATCATCGACCTACCTATGCCTACCTATTTACCTATGTACAAATTTATAAAGTTGTAAGTTTGTTATCCTAAAATTGCAAATAATGCAATGTCAATACTATTTTAATTTAGAAAACAAATAAGGTAAGCATTCTTGTAAAAAAGTAAAACTGCACTTAATGAAATTTATAAATTTATTTTGCAACCCTTTCCATTTTTATCACAATCACTGTGGCAAAATCCAGTCTCCTTTCCACTCACAAAGGAGGCATCTAGACACCGTCACCTCTATATGTCTAGGTGTTTCTGTATGAAAAGGTTTAACTGAAAGTTTAGACCTCGCTACTAGATTTATTATTAATTTGTCCTTATGAGTTTATGTGCTATAAGTTGACACTGTAACAGATCACAAAAAATAATGCCAATAACAATGCAAAAATTAAAAAATAAAATTTCTACCTCTACACTTTATTATTTTAATTCCACTTGTAAAACTGCTATCGAGTTCACATAGCTTGCAAAAACCGATTTTCAGTATAAAGTTAGTCGAATGTTACAATGTAACATTATGGCCTCTACAGAACAAGCTTTGTGCTCCATACAGCTTGACTCGTGCAGCTGATTGATGTGTTTGGCTTCTAAGTATTGCTTTTAGTTATCTCAATACTCTTAACACAGCTGAGCTGCTAACACGTTGAAGTTATTTTGTTACCTTTCATTATAAGAAGCAAGGCCTTGGGAAGCTTTAGAACAGGCTTCCAGGATTCCTGCCTGTTTTGTTTTTCTCAGTCATGAGCTACATATCATCATTCTTAAAATTCCCAGCTATGACGCTATAGAACTCGTCCTTACAGATGGTGCTCAAGCCAATTCCCTGCCTCCCTTTGTATCTGACCAGGGAATTTCAGCTCCTTCTTCCGGAAGCAGCTCAAATTTCATCTGTGAAGGCCTACACGGCACCATCTGGCAATAGTTAGGCAAGTCTGCAACGTTTTTACCCAGTCCACTTGCCTTCAAGGGAATGTCCAATGTTTTATTCACCTCCATAATCTCCACGCCTGAGACAGTACGTGGCTCTCTGTAGGTGCATAAGGCCGAATGAATGAAGACTTACTGATCTAATTATATGTATAATATTTTAAATTTCCTTATGAATATTTTAAATTTCCTTATTTAAAAATTTTGTCTAAAATAATCAAAAGACAAAAAAGGAGAAACATCTGTAACAAAAATAAATTAATGAAAAAGAACAAAAGAAATAACAAGGTAAAAATATTTATAGCACGTATAATAAAGGGCTAGTTTTCTTAAAAACAATCTTTTACAAATCAATAAGAAACTAATGAACAACATGAATTAAACACATGAGCAAATAAGAATAGGCAATTAACAGATGCAAATTTCCAATATTTGCAGGAAAAACAGCACGAGCTCAGACAACGTAATGGGTATCTAGCTCCTCTGTTCAGCGTACATTACTCCTTCCTGCACGAACTCCTCCTCCCCAGACGCGGTCTGTCTGGTCCCTTCAGGTGGGCTGACTCCTCACCTCACCCCTGGGTGGCATGTGGTCCAGAACTGTCGGTCAGCTGGTTCTGGCCATACGGCTGCGACATTGGTAGACACGGGAATGGTTCCGGTTATTCCCATGAAGCTGAAACCCGGGGAGAGAAGCCTCCCTCTCTCTCTCTCTCTCTCTCTCTCTCTCCCCCTCTCTCTCTCTCGGCTGCGGAGGCATCCCTAAGGTCGCAGGACGCCTGCGTGAGCATGAAGCCAGCAAGGACCAGAGATGCAGCAGCGTGTGGTCCTGGAGCGTCCTGGGACCCAGTGTTCCTCAAGTGACCCACCCAGACCTCTCCGTTACACAGACCAACACAAACTTTATATTGTGCCCTGGCCAGTGTGGCTCAGCCCACACACCAAAGGGTCTCGGGTTTGATTCCCAGTCAAGGGCACAAACCTGGCAGGTTTGATCCGGGTTCTGGCTGGGGCATCTGCAGGAGGAAACCAATCCATGTGTCTTTCTCACATCAATGTTTCTCTTTCTCTCTGCCCTCCTCCCTCCCTCCCTCCCTTCCACTGTCTCTGAAAATTAATGGAATAATAGCTTATGGTGAGGATTAACAACAAAATTAACTTTATATTTTAAGTTAAATCCAGTTTCTGTTGACTTTCTGTTACTTGTAACCAAAGTTAGAAGTACACTGGCAATTTTTAAAATGTCGAACCAAAACTATTTGTATTCATTAGATTGTCAATAATTATTAGGTTTCACAATACTCAGTGTTGGCCAGGATACAGCAAAATATATATGCCATAACACTATTGGTAGGAATATAGGTAGGTATGATTTCTTGTGGGGCAAACTGGTAATATTTTTTCAATGTGCACCTGCTTCTGGTGCACTAATTCCACTTCGAGGAATTTGCAAAATGAAAAGAATCAGCTACAGGGATATTTCTCACAGCATTTGTTGAAATGGCAAAAAAAACAACAACAACAAATGAACAGAAACTCCTAGAAGTCGTCTAAATATCCACTAAGGGACTAGTTAAATAAATGATGCTATAGCCACACTGCTGTATATTATGCATCTAATAAAAAAGGCTGGCTTGAAGAAATTCCAAGGTAAATTCATTCAATAAATTCGTGTCAGAAATGACTCTAGACCCCAGAACAGGCTGAATGAGCTCTCGGTGTGAGTAACCACTCAGGCAGATGACAAAGGGCCGAGCGGGAGAGGTCTGCTGACATGTGGGCACCTCTGGGCAGAGCTGTGGGTCCCAGACGGAACCAGCCCGGGAACCTCAGGGATGAGCGAAGCCGAGCAGAGAAAGAGCTAGTAGCGTCTCTGAGCGGGCCTGACTGACACGCAGGGACAGACAGACAGACGCTGCGGCCGAGGCGCAGCAGGAGCAGGGGTTCGGGACAGGA